AGAGTGTGAGTATGGGAGGGGTGCAGAGAGAGGGAGACACAAAATCTGAAGCAGGCTCCAGACTCTGAGCTGCCAGCACAGAGCATGATGCAGGGCTTGAACTCACAAACTGTGAGATCATGATCTGAACCAAAGTTGGATGCTTAACTGACTGAGCCACCTAAGAGCCTCTATGAGTCCCTCTTTTTATCTCTGTATTTGCATATTTTCTTTGATGAAAATTTATTATCTTTATCCACAGAAAAAAGAAGCAAGCTTACACTCTTCAAGGAAATCTATGACTTAAATAGTGGCTTCTCACAGGCATATCAAAAGTACACCGAATCCAGGGTGTCTGGGTGGCTCAGCTGGTTAAGCAGCATCGGCTCAGGTCATGATCTCACAGTTTGTGAGTTCAAGTCCTGCATCGAGCTCTCTGCTGTTAGCACAGAGGCTGCTTTGGATCCACTGTCTCCTTCCCTCTGGACCCCTCCCCCGCTCATGTTCCCTCTCTCTCAAAAATAAATAAACATTAAAAAAAAAAAGTACACCGAATCCAAAGGTTCCCCACAAGCCCGCCTTTCTGAATGTTTGCCTGCTACCTCAGAAAACAAAGACAGAAGTGTATCCCCAGATGCCTGGCCCCTGACCGCTTTCCCTTCTACACAGTGCACCTTGGTCAGCAAGGTGAAGGCAGGGCCCATGTCACAGCAATGTGTGCAGATATCTGTGATGACCTCTCGTTCTTGGTGGCTTGACATATACCACCCCTGGCTCTGACGTGATAGGATACTACTCTATTTGTTCTTGTTTCTGTCTCCGGTTTAACCTGCAGTCTTTCTCTCAGCTCCCCGGTCACCAAAGAGGGGCAGGGGACAGGAGCCCCTGCCCTGCAAGCTTCGGTCTCTCATCAGAGTTGAGAAGGGCCTCTGGCTTCACATGCTGACCTCTTCCTGGACTGGACAGCCGGGAATGGCTCCCACTCTTCTCCTGGCTGCTCCCTGAAGCCTCCACCCTGCTGGTCCCCAAGGATCCCTGCTCTATCTCTTTCATTCATCCCTTGTCCCTTCTTGCTTCTTCAGGCTCTCCCTGGCAGCTGACCTCTTCTCCGCTGCTTTGCAAAGTGCTTGGGTCTCCCACAGCTTGAAAAGAACTGTCTCCACTGAGCCTCATCATCCCCTTGAAGCCCGAGTCCTCTGTTCTCCTCCACCCTCCACCTCCAATGGCCTCTGCCTGTGTCTCTTCAGCTAATGCCGGACGCAGCCACAACATGAGCTCTGCTCTCTCCATCCACCCAACCACTGAACTGTAAATCCTGACGTCTCCATGTTCTCTACCTGCTCTACCCCTCGTACTGATGGAACTGCGTTAACCTTGCCTGGGAGGCCTGTCCTCCTTGGGTGTCTCCCTCCTGCCCCGGGTCCTTGTCGGACTCTTGCTCCCAAACCTGGGAATTCCTCCTTGCTCCTGACCCTCAGCCTTCATCGCTCCTTCTTCAAAATGTTCTCTCTGTTCCACGCTTGACTTCAAAACTCAGATTTGCTCAGACTACTTCTAAATGTACAATCATTTCTATTAGCCAGATCTCAACATTTCTGCTCTCCTCCTTCTCCTTCCCTTTGTCCTTCCTCCCTCCCTCCCTCCCTTTGGCATTTCCTATGTGCAAGGACTGTGCTAAATGCTAAGGTGGAAAAATAAGCAGCCAACTGTCCTGTTCTTTCAAAATCTCAAAATCTAGTGTGGGAAACTAAACACAAACAATCAACTGTAGTGGAAATTGGAAGATGCCACAGTTTACCAAGTGCTGGGTGGATGAAGGGCCTAACACTGGTAGGTGGTGGGTGAGGTGCTGTCTGGGTTGGGACCTGGAGAAGGAACCTTCCAGAGGGGCACCATAAGGCCTCCTAGGTGGAAGGGGCAGAAGGCAGAGCAGTAGGCAGGCTGGCTGAGAGGGGCTGATGAATCATGAAGGGACAGACTGAGAAGGGTCTTCTTGGCCTTTTTCCTGTCCATAATGGGGAGTCCTGGGGTTTGAACCAAGGGCACATTCTGAAGGCTGTGTGGAGAGGAAGTCAGACTGGGGAGGGATAGGGGCTGTGAGGTGAGGAAGGAGGCTATGGCCACAGTCCAGGAGGTGATAGGGATTAGACACCCTGTTCCAGAATCATCCCTACTTGCCCAGATGCTGCCTCCTCCATGAAGCCTACTCTGGTCAGCCTATCTGGTCAGCCTAGATGAATATGCTCTCCCTCTCCTAATCTGTCTTAAGAGATTTACCCCACTTCTTGGCTCACTGTCTGCCTCACTGATACATGCTTTCAGTCATTAGAACTTCTTATTTATTTAACAGACACACTCTGCAGACTATGTACCATGTAGTGTCCTAATATTAGCTCATTTATGATGTTGTTTTACGTTTTATATCTCATCTGAAGAACCCAGTGATTGCCTAGCACACAGAAGGTGGTTCCATGTTTTACAGAAGTCTGCATTTCTCTTACCTTAATCTCAATCCCTCATTCCAGGGAAACCTCATGGTCTTTCTAGACTTTTAACTTTTTTCTTTTATTTTTCAGAGACAGAGAGAGAGACAGAGAGAGAGTGCGCTAGTGAGCAGCAGGGGGCAGGGAGGGGGAAGGGCGGGGACAGACAGAGGATCTGAAGCTGGCTCCATGCCAACAGCACAGAGCCCGATGTGGGGGCTCGAACTCACGAACCATGAGATCATGACTTGAGCCAAAACCAAGAGTCAGATGCTTAACCGACTGAGCCACCCAGGTGCCCCTGGACTTTTAACTGTTTTCTTAAGAAGATTTCTTTCCACTTCTCCTTTGATATTTTCCTCACACTCAATGACAGTTGTGCCCTCCATTTGGTCCTGGCCAGAATGAGATGTGTGGTGGTGCCGCCCTCCCTGCTCTGTCCTGCACATGCTTGCTGCTCAGGAGCCTTTGCCACAGCACAGGCTGACTGGAGAGAGGGATTTTACTATAGGTTTAAACTCATTACCTCAGTCAACAGAATATTCTGAATAATTCTGTCAAGACTACAGATACACAGAGAGAAAATTTCCATCCCAAGTTTTAACCTAGAGGCTGAATGGCAGCTACGAAATGCCACAGTGGCCCCGCATCTCCCAGTGCTCTGGGTGGCTCTCCAGCCCCTCAGGTCTGTGTAGGGCAAGTGACACATGTGTCATTCTCACCACGAGGGTACAAGACAGCTCTGAGGAATTTCTATACCCTATTTGGGCCAAAAAAAAGTATTTAAAAACTCACTGGAAAAGGTTATACAGGGGCTATGTAGCATTCCTGGGGACCATGCGGATCAGGGGCCTAGAGCAAGGGCGCCTGGGTGGCTTAGTTGTTAAGCATCGGACTTGGGCTCAGGTCATGATCTCACAGTTCCTGAGTTCCAGCCCCACATTGGTGAGCTTGAGTCTTGCTTTGGGTGAGCCCTGCTTCTCTCTCTCTCTGTCCCTCTCTCTCTCGCTTGCCCCTCCTGTCTCCGACTCCCTTGCATCCTCTCTCTCTCAAACATAAAATAAAAAATAAAATAAAATGGAGGCCTACAGCAAGGCTGGGGGCCCTCCTAGACCAGGCTCAAGGCTGACAGCTCACTGGACCAGAGGCAAATCCTATTCTGTCCAGTTTGGTCATAGGAACTGCGGTCTTGTAAACAA